GGTGCATAGTCAGGCATAGCCATCTGGTCCACTTCTTTTTCTGGCACCAAAAGGATGTTTTGATACTGGTACCCCAGTGGAAGTAGGTTCATCATTGTCATGCAGAATTGTAGTTTTCCACTATTGAAAATAACAGCATCATCTAAAGAAGCAAATATGACCAGATCCAAACTGGATTGCAAGCTCCTCAATTTAATGTGTTCTCACCTATTTGCAAGTTCAGTAACCCACAATGACATGCATTGTTGGGCTTGTGTATGATCATATTATCATTTACATAAAAGACTTTACGCTTTTTTTCAAAGAAAAGTGTGATATGGCAGCTTTGATAAGATGTAAAGCTAATTTACAAAATGAATAAGGATATTGGAATGAGGTTGTCAAACATTTGAAAGTAATTTTCCACAAGGTAGAAACTGCAATTTCAAGATCCATTCCAAAGAAAGCCACATCAGAAAGTAGTGGAGATGAGCTGGTAATTTAAATGTACTTGGACATAGATGCAAAATAAGACCTCAGTAGGAGACAGGTTTGCAAGGCTAGGTACATCTCCTTGGAGTTTTCTGGGAGTTCCTTCTCACTCAGGAGGACACTATTCAGATAGACAGACCTGTCTAGTCTACTCTCTGGATGTAAATATCACAATAAGGGAAGAACTGATCCAAGATTTTAGGTCTTCCTTAGCTAGTATGGCTTCCTGATTCCTAAGAAACAGAACTGGCTTTTATTCTTTTAAATCATCTGTACCTCCCAAGTGTTTGATGTTAAATTCATGGATATGAAAAATAAATCAAGAAACATGAATCAGGACTGTTGCTCCACACCACTATGATTAACAAGATACCTATTTCAAAATCTATGAAACTGCTTTCTTCAGCGAGTGGGAAAGAGCTGTCTTTTACAAGCGTGGATCACATATCATACACTGTGATATGTGTAGAGACTGACTACAGGTCCTCCTCTTGGTAGGTGATGTTTCCCCAGAGTACAAAGCATTTGTACTCTCAAGGAAAATATCTCTACAGTGCCATTCGATGTGATGGGTGAATTTTTTCTCATGATTCCATCTATCTGAACTTTCTGAGTGTGACTCTAGAGTCCCCACTCCCTGTCAGATTATGAGCAGCCTAGACAGTTCTGACAAAGTCATAAAATCAGAGAGTAAGATTGTAATGCACCACAGATACTTCTTTATACAGTACAGACATTTGAAGATTCATTAACTAAGATGATCAGGTGAGAGCAAGGAGCACAGGGCTTGATGGCGAGTAAGCTCCTCAATAAATGGTAATTTATTTCCTTTCTTTCACCTTTTTTCACCCTCTTAGTCTCTCTCTCTCTCTCTCTCTCTCTCTCTCTCTCTCTCTCTCTCTCATTAGCCATGACCTTACTGCTGTGTTTCTATATTGATGGTAGGTGTCTAATCTCATTGTTGTCAGTGAATACAATCATCAGGCTCAGATGTGAACTTCAAGATATGTAATGCTGTATGTCTTCTACATGTGCAAACCTACAGCTATCCCTTTTTTGTTTTGTTTTGCCTTCTTTTTTGTGTTATAATAAAAATATTTTAAAGGAAGTTTTGATAGTTATATGAAATATATAATATGATATATATATACATATATATAAAATGTGGCCCTAAACCATACCTTTTTGCTCAAAAAAACCAAAGCCAAAGAAAAGGTAAGTCACAACATGAGCATTCCTGTGCAAGTTTCTCATATCTCTAGTTGCAAAGAGAAGCACTCATCCAATGATTTGCAGAGGGAAGTTAAAGAGTCACTAAGATGGGCTCTCACACATTTTTAAAAAGTTTTTGGACTTTAAGTCTTTCAGTTTGCTTCCCCAGCACCCATAGCCACTCCTGAGAAGTTATCCAGTACCTTCAAGGATGCACCCAGGTCCTGTAAAGTCTGAAGCGCATGTGATTGGGGAGGCAGGCCATCTGTAAAAACTCTAAGTGTCAAATTAGGTTCAAAATATTTCTTTAGGGTAAGAAAGAATGTACAGAAATTTACAAACATTAAAGATGGACAAGCACTACAAACCTCACAATATGCGGAAGAATATAACATTTCTATCCCTCAACTATCTGATATCCCTTGTAAAATATTACACTTTAAAATAAAAATAGTTTTTTTTTAATTTTATTTATTTGTGTGTGGGGGGCAGCTCAACCCACAAGGGGGAGGGGCTGGCTGGCATGTGGTGCTGGGGGATTGAACCGTGGTCCCTGTGCTTTGCTAAGCTTGTTCTAAGTAGGTGCTTTAGACCACTGAGCCATCTCACCAGCCCCTAAAATAAAAATAGTTTTAAATGTATACTTCTTAGTATGTCAACAATTTTATAAAGAAGAGAAAGGTGATCTATTCTTTTACATAATGTGATTAATAAAAATTATTTTAGTATTCATGGTTTTGAAATGTTTTGTCTTAAATTTCTTGGTAGATGGCCACTTTGATGTTTGTTTCATCTGGAACTTTGAAACTCCATCAGAATGAAATGAGCTGGGACCTACAGAATGGGAAAAAAGTTTGCCTACTATTCCTTGGACAAAGGACTAATACCTAGAATACACAAAGAACTCAAAATTGTTAGAGCCTCCAAAGTAGAAGACCTAATCAAAAAACATGGGAAACTAAAGTGAATAGATACTTGTGAGACGAAATACAAATGACCAGAAATACATGTTAAACATATTCTCCACACTGTCCACTAGGGAAAGGCAAATGAAAACAGCACTGAGACTTCATCTTATGCCAGAAAAAAATGGCACTCATCAAAGCATCAAATAATAAAAAATGCTAGTGAAGCTGTGGTGAGAAAGGAGCACTCCTGCACTGCCAGAGGGCATGTAAACTAGTCTAATCATTACTGAGATTCTTCAGAAAACTAAACCTGAAATTTTATTTTACCCAGTTACATATTCCCTTTCCAGGTATCTTCCTAAAACAGTTAAAGACACCACTTACAATGACACAAGCAGGCCTAAGTTTATAACAGCACAATTCTAACAGCTAAAACTTGGAAGCCGTACATATGTCCATCAACAGATGAATGGGCAGCTATCCATAATGGAAGGCTACTTTGCTTTGCTATAAAGGGAGATAAATTTGAGTCCTTTGTTAATAAAAGTAAATGAAGAACAAGAAAAGCAAAATGTAGCAAGATTGTACTGCTACAATGTAAAATATGGTTTGATTTCTAAATATCTATGTAAAAATGTGTAATTGTTTTCTTATTATTCTATAGGAATTTAAATTTTAGGACATACATGGTTGTTGGAAAATAGTAGTTTCATTTTATGTCTAAGGTATGTAATATTCAGACAGATAGTGATGTTAATCTCATTTACCTCTGTTATAGGATAATAATATCAGTAAGCCTCTCTTCTGGATGTTTAACAACTAAAATTTGCAGACCAAAAATTAGACAGACAGATGGGCTAAAAAATATAGCCAATATTTTGGCCCTAGCCCTTCAAGATCAGTGAAGACTCAGGATATAAGAGAACCTGTGCTGTGACATTCTGTAACTAAGTGTTGTCCCAAATTTTCTGATCAAGGAGATTATGGGGCCACAGAGGAAAGGGATTGACGATGCACAGTGTGCCTAAGGAAAGTCACCGAGAGAGAAAACATTCTGTCAGGTTTTCACAGAAAACAAATTGGTCAAGCAATGGCAGTGACTCATTCAGAAGGTTGACACTGACAAAGGATCTACAAAGTTCTGTATATGATTCCACGGTAATTCCTGAGGGGATTTGACTGACCTTGTCAGACACAAAAGTTACATTTTTAGTTATATAGGTCTTGCTTAACTTGGTCTTAACCATCCAGCAGAAAAATGTAACCATGAGGTATAAAAATAAAGCTATATTAATATGCTAAGCCATAAAAGGCTCAAGTCAACAACTTCAGACAATTGCCAGTTGTGCTGGTAACTCACTACTATTATGGACTATTGGACTATATTGAGTTATTTTTCTGAACTCAAGTACCTGCAATCTTCAGACTGGCATCAGTATAAAAAGGTCCTTTAAAGACTTCTCCAAATACAGCTTCTCTAACTATAAGAGAACACCCATCTCTGACAAAACAAAACAAAAAAGGGGGATATAAATAAAGGACCATTTTGTAGTGAAATATATATTATATATTTCATATATAATATGAAATATTATATATTTCATATTATATATGTAGTGAAATATATATTATATATATCATATATATATATATGATAGGATAGATATATACCTACTTTCTCTTAGTTCAATGAGAAGAAAAATTTGTACTAATATTGTTTAGACAAGATATCATGTCTACATCTTGTCCTCTGAATAACTACTCTGAAGACAATACACAATGTATTAATTATTGCACCTATCCTGTTAACTTGTTTTGAAACTGTTTCATTTCTTTTTTATCTTTTTCTCTCTTTAAAATGAAAAAAAACTTAAAAATTTGAGTCCTTTGTAAGAGACTAGATATGCTTGAAGACATAATGTTAAGTGAAATGAATCAAACATGTATGCTCAAGTACCAAATGATTTCTCTCATACAAGGATACAAAATATGAAGTATAAAGCAAACTTAAGGGCCGGGGAGATGGCTCAGTGGAATAAGCGCTTCCCTGGCAAGCACAAGGGCCTGAGTTCAATCCCCGGTTCCGCAAAAAAAAAAAAAAAAAAAGCAAACAAAGACTGGGAAAGACAGGCATACAGACCTTTTGCAAATGGGAACAAGGAGCAAGAGACAGAGAAGGGAGATGGGAAAAAGGAGGGAAACCTAGAAAGAACTGAATATATACATATAACAACCACAGTACCTATAACGGATGTAATCACTCCCTATCTACAGAGGGGGAGGAAGAGTGTTAGGAAAGGGGGGTTAAAAAAATTAAGATGCTTTCTGCTTTCAGCTAGGAGGAGGCTAAGGTGCAACTTTCTTTGGTCATCCCGAATTCGGGTTCATCCGACACCAGCCACCTCCAGCATGCCGCCCAAGTTTGACCCCAACGAGATCAAAGTCGTGCACCTGAGGTGCACCAGTGGTGAAATCAGCACCACGTCTGCCCTGGCCCCCAAGGTCAGTCCCTTGGGTCTATCTCCAAAGAAAGTGGGGGATGACATCACCAAGGCAACTGGTGACTGGAAGGGCTGCAGTTTATGGTGAAACTGACCATTCAGAACAGACAGGCTCAGATTGAGGTGGCACCTTCTGCCTCTGCCCTGATCACTGAAGCTCTCAAGGAGCCGCCAAGAGACAGAAAGAAGCAGAAAAACATTAAACACAGCAGAAATATCGCTTTTGATGAGATTGCTAACATTGCCCAACAGATGAGGCTCCAGTCTTTAGCCAGAGAACAGTCCGGACCCTTTAAGGAGATCCTGGGGACCGCCCAGTCTGTGGGCTGCAACCTGGACAGCCGGCACCCTCATGACATCATAGATGACATCAACAGTGGTGTTGTCGAGTGCCCAGCTAGCTAAGGAGCATAAGAAAATACGTCAATTAAAGAGATGATCTGACAACCATCAATCAGCTTTCTTGAGGGACCTCATTCCTAGTGGGCTGGTTAGTGGGGCCATGGTGGCAGGGCCTACAAGGTGCCCTGGGTGACAAACTCGTAGGTAACATTCTGCTCTGTACGGGATAAATTTGGGAAAGAAACTGATGAACATTGCTTTTTTACAGACAAAAAATAAAAAATAAAGAGTTAAGATCAATTAAGCACATCTCTAAAGTGAATGCAAAATTATGTACCGCAAATATGTATTAATAAAAAAATTAAAGAACAAGCTGTGTTGTATGGGCCAACGCAGAATTCCATACATGGAATGCAAAAAGAGGTTACTACACATGGTCATAGCCATTCTTTGTAAAATAAAAAAATTAAAACCAGGAAAGTTTCATTCTATTAGTATTTTTAGTCAGCCCATTATATCTAAAATGTTGCTCCAACATATTATCAATATTTTAAATTTGTATTCTTTTAGGTCTGGAAACTGAAGTGTGTGTTTTTTGAATGTGAAACATTCAATCTTCCCACTAATCTACTCCACTACCCCAATATTTTAAATTATGAAGTGAAATGTTTTATAGTCCTTTTTGTCCTACAAAATCCAGCACATGATTTGCATTATGGCTTTCTGAATGCACAGAACTGTGTTGCAAGTATTCAGTAGCCACCTGTGTCTAGTGGCTGTCATAGCACAGCACATGTCTGCAACATGAATAGTTTGTATGACACGAGTTAGTGTGTAGAGAGTGCAGTTCTATTTGCTAGATTTGCCGGTGTGCCAATCCCTTCCCAGCTAGTCTCTGGTTCTTTGAAGAAGGGAACTAAAAGTTCTGTATCTGTGGGATACTGAACCCAAATACAGTTTCCTCATGGTCACTTTAGGTACATGTAGAAATCCTGGAAGGGGGGCCTGGAAGATAGCTCAGTGGAATAAACGCTGCCCTGGCAAGCTCAAGGTACAGAGTTCAATCTCTGGTTCCACAAAAAGAAAGAAAGAAAGAAATCCTGGAAGGAAAATGGAATAGACAACGTGATTTCTCTTTACTTGTGAGCCACTTTTATCCATCTCTGAATGCCGCTTGTCCCAGAAGATAAACTCTCAGACTATATAGAATAAAACCAGCTTCAGACTTGTATTAACAAAGCTCTTGTGGCACTGGAATGGAAAAAGCAAGTGGCAAAAAACAAGAGAGATGCTCATAGAAAAGCCATGCTTGTGGAGTAAGCAAGCAGATTCAGAAAGTTGCTTTCAGGGGACCGTGAGGGAAGCCATACCCAAAGCACACGGTATGCCATGTGCCACAGAACACTCAGGCCTTTTCACGAACCTTCAAAATGATAACAAAGTGAAGAATTTGTCACATTGCTAGCCTGAATATCTTTTTAAGCTTGATAAGAAGCAAGTCACCCTGAACAAATGTAAAACCTTTCAGACTTTATAAATCCAAATTGCAAGAATATTGTAGATTCAAGTAGAATCTGGAATTCCAAATATGGTTTTGCTTTTTAAAAGCATGTAAGAAAATGTAGCCTATAATATGGAAAATCTTCATGGTACAATGAAAGAAGCAGAAATGTTTAAAAGGTATGACTCATCCAGTGAATCACTAAATATTCTGGGAAAAGATATCATGGCATTTTATAGTTGTATTAGTTGTTCAAAGCTTTAAAATATATCCAGATTATCAGGCTAGCAGCAGGCAATGCTTTCCACATTATACTGCATTATTTGAAAATACACTTTGTCTTTTTTCTAAAAATTCACCAACGGCTCTTCTTATGTTGAAAATCTGCCTCCCAAACATATCTCACAAAATACATTCACAGACACAACCAAAGACAACATCAGGACTGCAGAATGTAGCCCAGCCTAGCATGCATGAGGCCCTGGTTTCAGTCCCCAACACTCTCATTGTGTGTGTGTGTGTGTGTGTGTGTGTGTGTGTGTATAATTACTTCTCAGAGAAGGTTGCTACTTCATTCTCTGATTTTTCAGCTTTCTTATCAAAAGATTAACAAAAGGCTTAAGAAAATTCCACTTGAAGGAAATTCAAGTCTTTCTGAATAAAGAGCCCTCTTCCTTCTCTGAATTCCTCAAATAATTTCTGTGTGGGCACAACCCTGGGGTTAATTGTAATATTCCACTCTCTATTGTTATTTTTCCACATACCTAATCCTAGCTCTATGCTACAATTATAAGTTTCTTAGAGCCATAAGCCGTGTCTTATTCATCTCCTGTGGCTCTCAGCAAAGCCTTCGATACAAAAACCATTCAATAAATGTGCTAGAAATCACGATGATTTTGACCATGATTTACAAGAACACTTTTCAATAGACCAATGACACGTTATAGAAATGTCAGCCTTTATGGGTACACAGTAACATTTTGATATTTCTGTCTCTTCCAATTCCATTCCTTGAGTATCTTTTTAAATAAAAGTGTTTAGTGTTTTCATTAGCATTTCATTCCAAAAACTCAAGTTGAATTTAAATTAAAACATAAACCTAAGAAGTCTAATTATAGTCTAGCTTCAAACAAAGCTTTTCCTCCCTTAGATATATTTTAAATGTTTTTAGTGTCTAACCATAGTTAATTTCAGCTTGCAAAAATGTACCTACTGTTAGGTGTCCCCCCCCCCGCCCGCCTCAATTTAATAATATCCTAAAACCTTTTGAATATTGGATTCATTTAGACCCGATTGCTACTCAACAGTTTCAGCTGAAGTACAGTGCATCAGATATACATTTAAACCAGAAGTCAAAGCTCTCAATAAATACGACAAAGAGACTTCGGAACAAGCAGGCTAGAAGCCCAAGGCGGAAGCTAGCGTGCAGCACCGTCTTCTGGCCTCCTGAGCAGCGTGTCCAGTGGAGGCAGCTGTAAGAAAACGAAGCATGTGACCCGCGGGCGCAGGGCACGCGTGTGGGCTCCCCGATGCCACCTCCAGAAGTGGCTCAAGAGTAAGAGGCCATTGATGAGAAGAAGGTTGGGGTTAACCGTGGCCTTGGAGCTCCCCCTGGAAAGTGAGGAACACTCAGTTTTGAGAGGTGCATTAACCTCTTCAGACCACTAGGGTTCAAAGTGTTCCATAAGGGGTAATTTATTAAATGGGTCCTAATTGCTCGGTAATGTACCTTCCAAAAGTCGTTTCTCTGTGCTGTGATTAGGCCTGGGACTTGCCAAGGCCTGTCATTCTCTCCATTCATAATGGAGCACCAGGATATGGGAAGCTGACCCACTGGACGGCTGGTGTCTCTAATCCGAGCTCGATCCCACCAACTGAGCCACGCAACCTTTCATTTAATCCTTCAGTGTATGAATACCGAGGCACAAAATTGATACTCCTTATTTCCGTGCCTTTCACTAAATATGCATGAGCATTTGGAATGAATATGGAGAACTGGGCTTGTTCTCTTTCTTTTTTATGCTTTTAGGAAAGATAGTCACCTTTTAAAGATTTCTGAACGTCCATTTCATTCAGTTCTTTCTTCATGGTATAAATATAATCAGTGCTTCTTTGTTTGCTTTTAACCATCTACCAATGAATTTTCTTTGGACCTCTTTTTTCCCAATAGAGGCAAATTAACCTGATGTTTTGTCTGGCTCCTAACACAAAAGAGAGTCTTCCAATCAGCCGTGGGTTCCTATCACTAATTCACCTCCGGACTCCTTTGGCCCTGGTCTGTTAATTGGCAAGGCCAGCAGAGGGAGCTCGAGAGCACAGTTACCAAAACAAAATCAAAATTTAAAAAATAATACCAATTAGAAGTAGGGTATGGGACATTTCACCACACATGATCATGTAGCATAATCTAAATGTGAAAACAGCCTTGGAAATGCTTTTTATACGACATGACGCAAAAGAAAGTCAGGACTTCTAGCAACTGCCAGAGTCAGGAAGTTCACTGAGCTGAACGCAGTCCTGCCTCACATTTTAAGTCTTGAAAATGACTATCATAGCAATTGTCATTAAAATAAAATAGTTTTTCTTCTTAAGAAGTGATTATTCAAACTATGTTAATTATTGTTCCAAGAGTGAAAATGTGATTTCTGTCTTCCAGAGGTCTCCAGTTCTTCTTAGCTTTGACCACAATTGAAAATCTCCTGGCAGCCATCCCCAGGGCTAGAGCAACAGCGCTTTCATCGGACTATGAAGTTAAACCCGTATTTTATTAACCGAATAAAAATGACTCGCCTACAAAGTACAGTGGGATGCCTTCATCCCAGAGAAATTATACATTTTTATCCTGTATTTTGTTTCACAATTCCTATTTTGATGTCATTTGAAGAAGTTACACATTTTTAAACACATTTTTAGACTCATTGTTGCTCTGGAGTCCCGTTCAAATCCACCACTCGAAGGCTTGAAGCTACTTAGGAGCTCAGTTTCCCCCTTAGTGGAAGGCGCTACCCTTGCACCCTCCAGAAGGCTTCGCTAGCGTTTCTTATGAGGCAGTTGGTGTTGACCCTGTAACCTCTCACGTCCAGAGGACGTCTTTGACCAAAATAATCACCTGAACGCACAGGCTTCACACCGTGCTGAACTTAGCAAGATCTGTCTTTGTTTTAACGAATTGGAATAGTCCTGAAGATAGTGCAATTTGTCTGGAAGTTTAGCAAAAAAAAATAGTTGGGGAAGTAAATATTCAGTTCTGCTTTCTCCAGTAGATGTCACTTTCTGTACATAGGATATCAAGATATATAAGATGTACTGTATTCCTTACAATGATTATGAGAATAACTGTGGGTTCCAGCTATAGATAACAAAGTTTAAGCTTTCCATGACCTTTTCTGGTGTTTGCAATATTAAACAAAAATGAATGTTATTAATTAACCATCTTACATGTTTCTATGTAGCTTTGAAATTCATCTTTCTGCATAACATGCAAGGCAATCGTGCTAGAACCTTTTCCAGAGTTACAGAAAGCTAAGCATAATTTCAAGTCACAGCATAACGTTCATTTGCC